TGGGCTTCCATTTGCCACGAGAGGCAGCATTAGTATCCTTGATGAGTAGATGATGATACATTTGGTTAATTCTAAATTCTTCAAATCACTAGGGTATTTAGCTTCATAAACTAGTTCAGACCCTGCATTTGACCAGCCTCAGTCTGTACCTTGTGTTGTGAATCCTATTCATGTGCTTACCCAACCAACACACACACACCCTTTTATTTTATTTTATTTTATTTTTTGTTACTTGGTTGGGTATTTTGAATGCCAGTTTGAAGATAAGGTTATTGGCGCACTTCTCTTTTTGGGGAGGATTGTTTATGCCTTTCTACTCAAGGAACACAGAAGTGTGAAGTTTCCCGAGGCTGCCCTGGACCAGTAAGTGCAGCTGCAGAGATCACTGCAGCACGTGCTGCCTAGTTCACTGCTGTGTATTCCAAAGCAGGTGCAGCGTCCTTTAGCATAAACCTACTTCCAGAAAGGAAAATCACGGGGTATGTTTTGTCAATGTGGAGGAAGTCTGGATAAGTTGCCATGCAATTACATGGGTACAAACATTTAAGATCCCTGAAATGGGCAGGAAGCTGCTTGTTTGAAGAACTGTTGTTCAGTATTTTCCACTGGCCTTTGTACCATCGCACTGAGTGAAAGGAGAGCTGATATAAAAAAGTGAGCATCATAATTTGACATGAATTTGCACTTTCCATTCCTACCCTAGCCACCTTCCATGTTTCTTGTCACTTTGCTGCTCTTGCCATTTAGCTTGTAGTGGTGGTTAAATGAAGAAAACACTCACGCATCCTCTAGAAGGAGATTACAGGAGAAGGGAACTTGATTGGAGTGGCTGGGCAAAAATCGAAAGGTATCGGGAAGCTAGCTGCAATCACTGGATGGGATCTTTACGCCCCCTGACCTGTTTCAGGCTTATTTTTAGAAGGTCTCGCTAGAGAGGAAAGCAGGGAGAATGCACTTTCAAGTTGCATCAGGATTATTACTGACAACCTAAAAGCCATGCTGATCACTCTTTCTAGGAGGTATCTGCAGTGTTGTTACTAGGCTGCCCAAGTGCCACGAATGAGTTGACCTAGGCCAGGACAGTTCAGTGTCTCGGTTCTGGATTCTTGTTCACTTCTTGTTCTCCTACTTCATGTCTGTGCTGTTTCATTTTGTTTGGAGAAGAGATCGGCCCATGCTTTGGTTCAGTTAAGGAGGGCATTGCATGGTCACTTTAGTTTGGGGCATCAGCAGGGGACATCTGCAAAGTAGCCAGCCATGTGGATAAAACTGCTAACGACTCTTGACTCTTGCAAGTTCAGACATACTAAAGGCAGAAGGGACTAATCTGACCAGCTACATCCCACAGGGCAGAGAATTTCACCTAGTGTTTCCTGCAGTGCCCATGGTTTCTAGTTGAGGTACACCAAATCGTTTTCTCAGGAAGGTGCTCGGTCTTGCTTTAGACGCTTCAAATGGTAGGGGGGGGCACTGCCTCTTGTTCCTGGATCACGCTCCAGGATCTGTACCTTGCTTCTAGAAGGCATTTCTTTGATGTCAGCTTGCAGCCGGATCCTGTTAGGCCTTTGTCTGCCTATATTCGAGTCCTCTTCTCTCAAAAGCCTTGTCCTCAGAGTGCATACTTGTAGCCCATGATCAAGCCACCTATTAAATTTGTTCTTTGTTAAACTGAAATAGGTTGTTTCTCTTGCCTTTTTACTGGAGGTTAGGTTGTCCAGACCTCAGAGATTTTATCTCTTTCTCTAAACCGTTTCAATGTGTCAAGGTTTATTTTAAAGAGAGGATACCAGAACTGGACACAGTGTTTCAGTAATGGGTTCAGTAATTGCTGTAGGGCTTTTTATAAGGCCCATCAACTTCTACTTGATATTTCTCTGCATTTGCCACCTCTGTCACCACATTGTGCTTGTCAGTCCTGTTCAGCTGACACCCCCCCGTCCCATTCTGAGCAATTATTTTACAGTATAGTGTCCCCTCCTATTGGTGTGGCCTATGCTTTCTGTTCCTAGATGTATTTCCTTGTATTTAGCTGTCTTACTCTAGACTGTTACCCTGTTCACTGCATGCTGGTGTGGGGAGAGATGCCTGCCAATTGAGATGGGGCTCAGGCAGATGTATGAAGTGGAGAATTTCCACCTCCCTTCCTCTTCTCACTCCCCTCTCGGTGTCAGGCTCCAGAGTTCCCTTACTGAACAGTTTGACTTTGCAGAATAATACCAAGTATCATTGTAGGATTCCCTGTTTGCACCAAAGGGGCGTGAGCCAATTTGCTTCATCTCAAAGAGAAATGGCCTGGAGGTGTTGCACACTAGAATAAGCTTGGGGGCTCCAGAAGTTTTAATGTTAAGGTGTAGAGCTGGGGTGGCAGCAGATTCGAACTCAGACAGAGGTGATGTTGCTGTCTGTGGTGGTACGCTGTATCGGAAGCCCTTCTTTCGGTGCTTTAGCTGCACGCCTGTTGTTGGGTAACTACTAATACCTACTCATAAAATGCTCTTCTAAAGCAGGAGATTTCACTGCTGCTTGAACATAATATTGTGCTTAGGCTGGTTTCTTTTAATGCTTTGTACATGTGTGATTACAGCTGCTCTTTGGAAGAGATTTGTCAAGGCTCTAAAGGTCAGAAACATTAGTTGTACTGATAGCTACTGCTGAAGCCTTTAACGGAAAGTTCACAAGAGAGATCTAGGGGAGCCTTTGAGGTTCCAGGGGCAAGAGTTAATAGGTCTGTGGCTTTCTAGATTTTCGCTCAGGCTTTCGTGCATTGCACTTTAGGCCCTGCCTTGTTTCCTATCGAGGAAACCGGAGGTCTGTTGGTGTTAGTCATGTCACTGAAAGGGAAAAACACTCTTACTATAGTTTGTACAGATTTCTGTGTTCCCCTTTGAGCAACCTGTCAATAGACACTTAGCATGGTTAAGGGGCTTGCTTGGAACTAGTGGAGGCCTCTTATGCACAATAGATCAATCTGAAAACTGTATGTATGTCTGATTTGCTGGAACAAGTCTGGTCTCTACTGTTGGCACAGAAGGGCCAACTTCATCCACGAGCTATTATCCAAGGTTGCTAAATGAAACTGCAGAAACTAGTTTGACTTTCTGCTAATCAGCCCAGCTAATAGGAGACGTAGAGTGAAGGAAGAGATGAGAACACACTTGTGAATAATTAACATTTTATAGAAATACACACAACGTAGGAGACGTCTAGGCATGGTAGAAACTCTTCAGGTTCCTTTTAATCTCTTCTGCCACCTTCCATAATCAGGAAAAAACCGAGCTGCTGAAACAAGTGAATTGAAGCCTTCTGCTTTTGCTAACTGCTGTGACCATTTTGATATCTCAATTTTTGTTTTACTTGCCAAGTATTTTTCAAATAGCTTTAACAGATTTTTTTCTCGGGAAGAGTAGCAAGTTGTTATACAACTTTAGGTATTAGTCATTCTTATGTGTTCATAGGCGTAGAAGATCTGAAGTTTTTGATCTAGAGAAAACAGCTAACCAGTAAGAATGGGAAGGTAGTGGGTCTTCAGTATATTTGAAGAATTCATTGTGTTCAGCTGTCTCCACTGTGGCAGTGGTTTACAAAAGATTGTATTTAGAATCCATACAACAATAATAGCTGGTTCTTGAATACACAAATACGCAAGGTAGGCATTGCTTGGGTAGCTTTCTTCTGGCAACATTGATGATTTGATTTGTATTCAAACTGTGTGAGCAGATTACTTACTTTTCTCGACCTATTGAAATGAATAATCATGCTTTTATTTGGACTGCTAGAATCTTACAGCAAATAGAGGCAGAAGGGTACCATAGACATCCGCAGTGAGAGAATTTGAATTTTTGAAACATCTGTGACATGGACAGCAATAGATATCTATAGTCTTGTAGGATCCTTCAACATTCACTTTGTTCTGAAATGCAGTTCCTGATTTGTCAGATGGTGTAAATAGATTTCATAGACATAGATTTCATAGACATCAGGGCTGGAAGGGACCTCAGAAGATCATCGAGTCCAGCCCCCTGCCCAAAGGGCAGGAAGTCAGCTGGGGTCATAGGATCCCAGCAAGATAAGCATCCAGTTTCATCTTGAAGGTGTTCAATGAAGGCGCTTGAACCACCTCCGGTGGCAGGCTGTTCCAGACCTTGGGGGCTCGGACAGTAAAGAAGTTCTTCCTTATGTCCAGCCTGAAACGATCTTGAAGTAGTTTGTGACCATTCGACCTCGTCATCCCTTGGGGCGCTCTGGTGAGCAAATGTTCCCCCAGATGCTGGTGGTCACCCCTGATAACTTGTAGGTGGCCATCAGATCACCCCTGAGCCTGCGCTTTTCCAGGCTAGAGAGCCCCAGGGCTCTCAGCCTGTCATCGTAGGGTCTGCTTCCCTGACCTCTGATCATGCGCGTGGCTCTTCTCTGCACTCTCTCAAGCTTCTCCACATCCTTTTTGAATTGTGGAGCCCAAAACTGGACACAGTACTCCAGCTGCGGCCTCACTAAGGCCGAGTACAAGGGGAGAATGACGTCCCGGGATTTGCTTGAGAAGCATCTATGGATGCAAGCCAGCGTTTTGGTCGCTTTACTAGCCACAGCATCGCATTGCAGGCTCATGTTCATCTTGTGGTCAACGATGACCCCCAAGTCTCTTTCTTCCATAGTGCTAGCCAACATAGCACTGCCGAGCCTATAAGGATGCTGCGGGTTTTTTTCCCCAAGGTGGAGAACCTTGCATTTATCGGCGTTGAACACCATCAGATTCTCGCCCGCCCACTTGCTGAGCCTGTCCAGGTCAGCCTGGATCACCCGCCTGTCTTCTGGTGTGGATGCTTTGCCCCAAAGTTTGGTGCCATCGGCGAACTTGGCCAGTCCGCTTCTGACTCCAGTGTCCACATCATTAATGAAGATGTTGAACAGTATGGGTCCAAGGACAGAGCCTTGGGGGACCCCACTGGTCACAGGCCACCGCGATGAGTGACTTCCATCGATTACTACTAGTAATCATAATAGTATGATAAAAGCAATTTAACAAAGGTAAAAAAAAAGAAATTGTGAGTCTAAGCAAAAACATTTAAGCAACAGAACATTGTTTAAACAAATGACAACCTGGATGTTCGCACTCTCTTCACTGGAGCTCTGTAAATACTTTATATGAAAAAAGAGATGGCTGTTTTTACGCTTTTGGGGTTTAAAAAAGGAAAGTGGGGGGCTTTCTCTTTCTCTGCCTCTTGACAGCCTGCTAGTTGCTGCTTTTGGTAAAGACGCAACAGAAGCTTTGGATATATACCTTTCTAATCTTTCTTTCCATCCAAAGAATAAAATATAACAACTTGACTTTGAGGTCAAGTAGATATAGACTAGCCAAAGTGTGTGTATGTGCATCTGCATCTTCTTTGATTAGTCTGTAAGGTGCAAATCTGCCCCGATGTCTACATGGTATGACTTACAGAGCTCCTTAAAATTATTAACCAAAATTTTCCATATTTTTTGACAATCCAAGAGCTCTGTCCATTTGCAGCTTACAAACTCAGGGTGTTTGTCAGAAGGTGGGGCTCCTTCATATTTTGATTCTCCCCCTGCCCCACCTCCCCAGCTCATTCATAGTTAGGATAATCTGACTGCTGTTGAAATCTTTCCCATAGACTCCATAATGCCTCCTTAGTAGTTTAAGATTGCTGACTCCTGGTTTTTTAAAAAACAATACTGACAAATACAAGTCAGACCCTTAACAAAAATGAGCATGTTGAGCTGTGAAGATGCCAGTGACACAATTAGAGTATAAGTATTATCACTCTTGTTTTGCTTTATTGGAGTCTAATTTCCATGTGCTTGGTTGTATTAAAATAAATCGCAATGCATCCTCTGTGTGCTCTTCCTATTGGCATAAGCCTGACAGTGGTCAGCAGTAAATCCCACTGCACAGAGGCTTTTCCAGCCAGTGCAGATGGGACAAGCCTGCCTTCAGCTCTGCTGGAGAAATTGTGATTAAGACTTCGTTTGCTATTGCAGATGGAAACCACTGGCTGGATTTTTCTGTTACAGGTACCAGCCTTGACTCTCTTATACTGAAAAAAACAAAACAAAAACTTGGGGGTGCTCTTTGGCCCATTTGTGAAAACTAATTTTGCTTGCAAAGCAGAGGGGAAGGTAATCTCTCTTTTTGCAGAGGTGAATGTCTACAAATATTGCCAGGAGGTTGGTAACTCATAGGTCAAAGGGATATGTAATGCCATTGTCTCATGGCATTGCACTCCCGTTACCCTTTCTTTTATTTTCTTGAAACTTAACCTGCTGTCACAATATATGAACATGGATTTCCTTTTTCAACACCAAGGAGCATGAAACAATGGTGGTATTCAGGTTATGGCATGTTGCATGAAGCTGCATGAGTAATTTCATTAGACTAACCCCAACATGTTTGAGGCACTGCAAAAAATATTTTCAGACGTGTTCAAATTCACTAACCATGCATCTTTGAGTTGCTCATTTGAGATAATGGTGCTTATCTGGAAGTATAAGTTTATCAGTCCCTTGTGCATTCCTGAGTGTGCATCCTTTATATAGTACCCTTGAAGACCCCTCATTGAAATCCATTCTTTCCCTTAAATTCTGTATTGTAGTGAAACAGATGAGCACGGTGCATCTGCATGTATTTGGTGGGGGGGGAAGCACGTGCTTCTCCCTGAAGAGAATTTCAAATGAGCCTGTGACTAAACCAGCAGCTAAATTCAGTGTTGATTCCATAGGTGTCTTGCTTCATTTTGGATCACCATCAAATCTGAATTAATGCAAGTTAGTGTCTGCTAAATCAAAATATACTTGTATTGCTTTGCAGCTTAAAGGCCTGCTCTCTTTGTATTTACTTTTCAAATTCATTCATTACATGTTCTTAGCATAATGATAAAAGCTTCTGTGTGTGCTTATCATCATCATCATACCATGCGCTACATGGATACCTATAGCTATACCTATACATGCACATGCCACTGCACTTTAAATAGGTTGTGGAAATAGACAGATTTTTCCATATATATATTTTTTTAAACGGAGATTTTTGGGGGGGTTTTTCCCCCTTCACGGAAAACTAGGATCCCTGTTTATCATACACCTTGTGTCACAATGAAAGTTCTGCATCTGACGTAGTTATTAAAACCATATCTAGTTTTATACTTTTTACTCAATGCCATCAGTCTGTTATGTCATCTTCTGACTTGCTTTTGGACCGAGTCAGTTGTTTTGGATCGGAACTTCCTGATTTTTTTTAAAGTGATATAAATATCCATATTTAACCTTAACATGGGCAAGTATTAATAATTTGAATTTTTTTTTCCAAATTCACTTTGTGTGGTTGTAAAGTGTTTTCATTTTCAGAGCGCTAGATATCCAACTTCTTTTCAATAAAGGTGTAAGGGATGCTTTTATGAAGGAACTGCAAGTACGCCAAGTAATTGCCTAATCCCAGACTTTTTCAGAGCAGATGTAAGCAAAAAGCATGCCATGCACTGTAAATCTGGGAAGCCTACAGATTTTTGTCAGTGGATGCAGCAAAAAGAATCAATAACTCATCATTGGACAAGGGCTGGTGACGATGCATTTTGCATTACCTTGCATCTGCTGGAGAAGAGAGGCTGGTAGGAAGACTTCAAACGGCTGGAGTAGAACTGAGTCCACTTACCTAGAGTTTCTCTCTTACTATGTTAACATTATAAAGAACCACAGCAGTTTCTCAGCCCGTCTTAAACCAAAACCTGATGTCCTTGAACACTTTATTTCCTTTTATTTTTATGCCACAGTTTCATTGCAAAGTAAATTTAAAATTCTACCGTTTTGATATCGTATTGCAGAATGACCTAGTTGATTTGTAGCTGCAGTTAACTTTTGAAGACGCAGTTCAGGGTTGTATGGATTACACGAACAGTCATCAGTGTGCGCTTGCAGAAAGAAGACAGCAACAGGGAATGCAGTCATGCATTAGCTTCTGAAGCACAAAGTTTTCAACAGAATGCAACTCTAAGGAAAAGTTGGATGGGGAAACTCTTTCTTACTTTCCAACAGGTTAGTGTAATGTGTACTTTTTAAACCGGTGACCCCTAAAATGTACTCAAATAGGTGGATGTTGAGGTCTAAACAGCTACCTTGAATAGTTGCTTTCCCAGCTGCCAAGTGTACTGACTTTTTGGTTTCAGAACAATTGGAAGATCTTGTGTACTACACACATACATTTAGCAGGCCAAGTCTGCTTTATGGGACATGTTTGACATCACTCTTCTACAGTAAATTCTTTGTCTAAATAGAAACATTTTGAATTACTACAGAATATAGCTAGTTTCTTCCTTACAGTGTTAGCAAAAATTGAAACTGTAACACTTGGTGCCTTTGCGCAGTATATGCATAAGCTTAAATTCATGTTGTGTATATCTTAAAATATTACTGGAGGATTAAATACAATCCTACGTGAACGTCTTGCCCAAGAAAGGGAACGTCGGATAGAATCTGTTGTGAAAATTGCATTTTTTGTAGTTCACGGTACAGGATTTCTTTTGACTTCTTGTAGCAGTTTGGCTGATAGATTACCCTGGTGCTTCCCAGGCAGTAGAATAAAGTGTTCCTGGACTTCCAGAGTGGGAGAATTGAAGTTCAGCTACGATTTTTGTTTTAGTTTATTTGCTTGCTTTTTCTGCAAGTTAGAACTTCTTTTTAAATAAAGCCATTCTTATAATGGAAATTGTTTTCACTCATAAGCTTCCTTAAAGGTAAAAGGCGCTATATGAATGCGAGGCATGCCCTAATATCCTGTATCATGAGCTTCCCCCTTCACAATTGCACAGTATCCCTCCAACGCTCCAGGAATTGCTTGCATGAAAGAGGGGTGTTTGCCCAGTCTTTGATGTAACAGTCTCTTTCTCTCCTTTTAACATGAACAGGACAAGAGATTAACCAGTATCCTTTCTACTTCCCCTCTCGCCTCACCCTCCCATCTGTTCATCACTTCCTGAAAAATACTCTTTGGCTCCAGCATTTTCTTTCTCTGGCCCTGCCTAGGCTTCCCTGTTGCCTGGTCCTTTCCCCAGCATCTTTCCTTCCTATTAGGTTGCCCTATTCCTTTTGAGGTTTTTTTTGTTTTGTTTTGTTTTGTTTTTTCCACCTGGTGGCTGACGGCTCCACTCCAGCTAGTAACCAGTGGCAAGGGGAGGTGGTTTGGGCCCTGTGCTTAGTGTTCATTCCTCCAGTGCTAGAGTTTCCCTTTGTTCCAGTCCAAGAATGCACCGAGAGGTGCACCGAGAGGTGCACCGAGAGGTGCACCGAGAGGTGCACCGAGAGGTGCTTCGAGCAACTCTTGGGGATCTTCCAGTTCCCTTTGCCCAGTGACCTGGGAATTTGCAAACCCCTCCTCAGATGACCAGGGCTCCTATCATTGCTTGGGTACCATTCACCTAGAAATCGGACTTTCCCTAGGTCTGCCTAGGTTGCAGTCACCCTGTTGTGTTGAGGCAAGGCCCGTTCAGAGGCAGACCTTCAAGTGCCACTTCCTATCCTTAACAGGAGCAGCATGGCATAAGACTGCAACAGAAGACGGCTGTAAGGCATGAACACCGAATCCGACTGGGATTCACAAGGTGAATGAAGTTTTGATAAGCTGTCACATTGTGAAAATAGGCGGGTGTAAGACTGTAATGGCTGCGTTGTGGAGAAACAGCATGGAGAGAGCGATGCCCACAGCTCAGTTTATCCATTGGGATCTTGTGATGGAAAAGGTTGGGAGCACGAATCTTTGTGAGGCAGTGGATAAGTGCAAATGTGAGTCGGAGACTGAAGTAAAAGGGTCAACCTAGCAAAATTACTGTGACTCTGTGGAACATGAGACTGGAAAGAGCACCTTGCTCTGCATTCGGGAATGGACAAGGTCACTGTAAATGTCTCCTAATTACCATGGAGGTTGGGCTGGTTACTTATACTCATTGCACTGACACAGAGAAGTGGTAGGCTAGAGCAGAGCCTTCGTTTCTAGGGGCTGGTCGTGCCTGCACACTATTCATCTCAACACAGAAGAGAGAAATGAGAATGGGTCTCGAGTGGGTGCGGGTACCCCTCGAGGGTCACGGAGGTGAATGCAGTGTTTCCTGGAACACTTCGGAGAGGAACCACCTTGGCTGTTTTCCTCTTGTTCACTCACTGCTGGCTTTTGTTCACATACAGTTCTGGGTTTTCATCTGCTGTGGCGTGGGCTGTGCCTGTTTTGCTTCCTGTGAAGGGGTTGGTGATGCAGAGATCCCTCCCTGCCTTGGACTTCTTGGAAACTCCTGCTTTCAGTCACTAGCTTGTATAACATGGGAACTTGATTGGGCTTTCGAGGTTTGAAGGTGCATGTATATTTGTATTCATTCTGTAGCCCAGTCGCATCTTTCTCCTGGTGTGATCATGAGAGTTGCTTTAATCCAACAGATTGGGCGGAGGACCCTTTACGTTACTTGGTCAGTCTGCTCCATGCTTGTATGTTAGATGAAGTATTTCCACTGAG